ACAGCCATGCTTGTTAGGAAAATATGGGAGTTGCAGTAAAATACATTTTGTGCAGTATTCTGGATTTGGTTATCTATTTCACTTTCTGGGTTCACATGATACAGTGACTCTTAAACTAGCCAGTAGTATTAGGTTTACCCCAAACACTTGATGTAAATAAAGAAGCGAAACAAACAAGGTTAAAACTAACCAATAAAAACTAACCAATAAAGGTAGTCCTTGACTTAACAATTGATTTAGTGACTGTTCAAAGTTACAAAAACTGACCTATGACAGTTTTTCACTCTTATGACTGCTGCAACATCCCCAGTCATCTGATAAAAATTCGGCCACTTGGCAACTGACTCATATTTATGACAGTTGCAATGACCTAACTACTAACTTAACAACGGCAGTGATTCACTTAACAACTGTGGCAAGAAAAGTTGTAAAAGAGGGCAAAACTTAAGTACTTAACAACTGTCCCGCTTTGCAACAGAAATTTGGGGCTCAATTGTATTCATAAGTCAAGGACTATCTGTACTTACGAATTTTCAAGTTACAAACTTTGATGCAAACAAACCTATTCTCAACTCCAATTAGAACAGGGCTGTGAAACTCCTGGCCTGCATCACGTGCTGGCCACGCCCACGCCCGGTTTAGCGAAGTCCCCATATGTCACGTGATGCCGCCATGATGCCGTGAGTTTGATACCCCTGAACTAGAAGGTTCCCACAAGGTGAGAGAAAGGCAGAAAGGGTTTGTTTACAGCATGCCACATATGTATGCTTCACAGCATTGCCTCACATAGGGAGCCTGAGATACACCAGTTTGGATGCTGTCCCATCCTGTTTGTTCGCTGGTCTTGTGGTGTTTAGTTTGACTTTCTGTAGTAACTATGAATTACAATGTGTCTGGAATTAAGCGTAAGTGCCACTTATACATGGTAAGAAATGTACAGGTTTTTAAAAAAAATATTTACAAACAAAATGGATTTACAGTGTCTTGAAACGTAACCTGTTTGTAATTAGAAAACTGTATTAGCATGTTGTGTGAATACATCCAGTCTTCAATCCTGTGAATATAATGAAACTGGCCTAGTCAGTGTGAAGGAAACAGGGACAAAAGCTGGAAGAGCAGAGGAATTCTCTGCCCAGCCTGTGATTCAAAAGGCAGTTTTATTCAGAGCAGGGCTTTTGCGGAAACGAATGAGGCGTAGTTTCATCATCAACTCTGTCTCATTACTTTAATGTGTTGCTAGCAGTTTACTGTAAACAGAATATGCAATTTGTCACAGGGCAATTTGCCATAAAGGGCAGAATGAATCTAATCTAAAGCACTTGATTTAAATTAGAAATGAAGAAAGGAACTCAGTTATCTTCATCAGATGTTATTACAATTGTTGCTTGAGAAGTTTCACAGGAGTGAAGTTCTCACACTCTTTCTTAAAAATCAAACCACAGACACGGAATTGTCAGCCAAGTTGTTCTTAACGATTCTTAACATTATAGGCACACTGTTTTCTTTCTTATCAGAAGGGAAATCAAATTGTTGTGAGAAACCAAGTTCAAAGAGCTGGATGCTTCAGTAGCTGGGGCAAAAGACGATGGAGTTTACAAGGTAGCAGTTTACAAATAAGCTAGTTCTCAACTTACGACTGCTCACTCAATGATCATTCAAAGTTACAATAGATTCCCCTAAAAGGTACTTGCAACCCGGTTCCAAAGTTACGACAGCTGGCCCCTCCCAATCATGTGAATGCCTTTTGAATCCTCAGCAACTGGCCCGCACTTATGACCATTTGCAGCATCCTGCAATCATGTGACCACTGAAAACCAATGTTTACTTCTGGCTTTTGGCAAAAAAGAAAACCTCATAGTGAACAATAGCTGCGCTTAACTGCTGCAAAAAATAGCTTGTATAATCAGATTGGTCACCTGATAACCTGCTTTACAGCCATCATGACTTATGACTATAATGGGCAGGCTCCATTACAGTCCTAAGTTCAGGACTACCGGTATCTATAGAGCTGTCACAATGAAGACGGATCTGAGTGGACAGAACAACTAAAACTAATAGATGGACAATACAGCAAAGCAATTTGCTTACAAATACACACATTTCTTCTGGATCTATCCGCAACAGTGAGTTTCCTTCCCGAAGTCCAGGTGGCCAACAATCAGGGAGGCTGTGGTTTATCCTGAAAAGCCATGGGCACTATCAACTCCATTGGCAACAATGTGTAATCAGGAGCAGGCTACCTTGGGAGAGCACGTATTTTAAATGCAAGATGCCCATTCAGTCCACCTTGGTATCTGCACGTAGGGCTTAAAAGAACCCCATCCATAATTGTTAAATAGTGAGCTAGGTAGCGAGCCAGATGATGAAGCTCTTGTATAAGGCAGCTTCTGATCTTCCTTTCGGCATGCATAATGAATGATTTACAAAGTCTCATTCATCCCCATGATAACCCTATCTTACTGTAAGAAAAAAGACAATGGTTTGCGCCACGCTGCCCAATCAACAATCAAGGCATTTAAAATCAGATTTTGCCCTCAACTACAGCACAAGTTAATGCCTCTCGAATATCTCACAGTACCCTGATGTCTCTCTTCCCATTGCACTTATTCAAAATACAGGGACAGATGGAAGCTTGAAGGTACTCCGGTTGATTATTGCTACATCTAGCCCAACGCTGCCTGCTCTAATTGCGATTGGCTTTCCAAAACCTCTCCTGGCGTGTCCCTTGAGCTCTCATCTAGTTGGAAATACTAGTTGAACGTTGAAGATTAGGTCTTTCGGTGCTGAGATAATGAAAATATCCCATCCTTTAAGGTAGATGTTCCTAGCCTGGAGCCTTTCAGCTGTGTTGGACTACAACGAGCCGAATCCCCACCCACATTTGCAGTGCTGCCTACAAGTCATAGGCCAACGCTCAAGGAGGACGCCAGTTCAATAAACTTTCTGGCAAAGCAGAGCAGGTTAATGTAATGTTGCCACGCACCCAACTGATGTGATATAGGAACAGAAGAAGTGAGATTCAGGGTACGACAAAAGAAGTTCTGTAAGATGCACTTCATATTCATTTCCAACAAATGATCTGTTCATGGCCCTCAGGGGTAGGATAACTCCTGCAGGCAAATTTAAGCTGGTACACTGGAGAGGGCACATCACTTCATCCCTTCACCAAAGCACATTTAATTTGTGTTTAGACCAGCCACTGTCACTGCTTCTGTCTGATTGAATGAGATTGCTTCCTTTCTGATCTGTTGCACAAGTAATTTATTTCTGACTACTGGTTGGTTTGAAGCATGACATGAACAGGTGGTAATTCATCATCAAGTTCTTCGTTTTCACAGACCATGGACAATATCAAGAGACGGCACTCCTTGGGGATTGGCTTTCCAGTGATTTTACGAATCAATTCCGTCAGGCTGCGAAAGAAAAACAAAAAGTGAACATGGAAGAACTCAGCAGTCAACAAGCACGGACTGTCTTTGTCGCTTGAGGTAGTGAAAACTTAAAAGCACGTGTTTGTAATAATTGCATGGTGGAATCAGTATGGGAAGTGTGGTCAGAGCTGTGGTGGGAAGTACCTGACGCTACATAGGGATTTGATTTCATTGGTTGCTTTTGGCACAAGCCTGGGATGCATCAAAGCTTAATTAATCATATCTCGGTCTAGTATTCTGCTTCATCTACAGTTGACAGAATGCATTTGAGGAAACCCTCAAGCAGGAAATAAAGGCAGTTTCTCGCTCTGTTTTTACTTAGCAAGTGGTTGTTGGAGGACGTGATGCATCCAATTAGCCAGATGTGGAGCGTGCTTCCTTTTCCTGGTTGCCTTTGTTCCCAAAGCACGGCCTGAACGGTGCTCCACATCTAGGGGCTAAACTTATGTCAGCCTCCATCAGGAGAGGAGCGGGAACACCCTACCATCTCTCTCCAAGCTTTTATACTGGAGCATGGATGGGGAATATCTTTGAACAACAGCTTCCAGGATCCCCTCCCTCAGCCAGGCCAGCTGAGGTTCTCAAACAGACACAGGCCCTCCACCTGGTACCTCACCAGCCCTCTGGAGCAGAAAGCCAGGCAGACGTTCTTGCTCTCTCCTTGGGAAGCAGCAGAGTGAGAGTGGAGCATCTGCCTGGGAGAATCTACAGACTGGTTTTGCACAGGGGGTGTGGACAGAAGGAGAGTGAGTGTGCTGAAAGCAGGAGAGCTGCCAGGGAGTCTGGAAAGATTATAGAGCAAGAGACTACAGTTGCCTCTGGTTGGCAGAAGCCCAGAAGGGCCTGCTTGAGGCTGGGATGAGCTTTGTCTACCCCAGGAAGTTGAGGAGGAGGTGCTGACAGCAGGATGTTTACCCGGCATGGAAGGGAAGGGACATTAGAGGCTTTGCAGCTGCTGCAGATACAGGACCCAGGCTGTACTTGGAGGGGCCCTGCGATGGGGTAGCCACGGCCTCCCTATCCTTCACTCCTGAGGATCCCTCTGCCGACCGGCTTCCCAAGCACAGCTGGACAGTGGGCTGTTCTCCAGCCAACAAAACCGGGCAAGCGGAGGCCCAGACAGAGCAAATATTCAACCTCAGCAATCACAGAAGGAAGAAAGATGGAAGGATTCCTAGAGATTGTCTAACCAGGCCCTTCTTTTTGTGGGGCACCAACAGCCACTCTTAGTATAGGGTTAATCGAAAGAGACTCTGAAAGCCTGGGAAGCTTGACATAGTTTCATATTAAACTGAGACTGAACTTGTTTCATTTGATCTGTTTTTATATTCTTCTGCTTTTAAAAACAGCGTTTTAATAACTAAATTGTCACGGAAGCCTTTTTAGGGCTGAAAGACAGCCTCACATGTGTTTATACACACACACACATACACAGAGGGAGAGAGAGAGAGAGAGAGAGAGAGAGGGAATGGAGCCTAGAATTTAAAGCTGGGCATAGCTTTTACAGATGGGCCTCCAAACTAGAAGTCTTTTCTGTCAGTTCAATTCATAAGAGCTTTCCCTGCCTTGGTTAGATAGACCCTCACCAATGGCTCTGCTCTAGGGACTAGAGGCTGAAGCTATGAAGATTAGGGTTCTATAATATCTCTCTACGGATCACAGGATGCCTTCTGAAATGTTGTTCATGCAGGGAGGCAATCTCAAGACTCTGATTATGATCTGTTTAAAAAAAAAAGTTTAAACCCAGAGAGCCCACATAAACAGGTTTTTAAAGGCCAAAATCTCCAGTGGATTGGTTGGCGATACATAGAAAATAAGAGGAGTCTGAAGTCTATGAGAAATGACTTTAACTAATGATGTGAAATCTATTACGTTTCAACCAAGTTATTACTGTATGTGTTTGTTAGGAATCTAAAATTAGGCAGTATGGAGAAAGGGAGGACCAGAGGCTACAAAAAAGGGGGTTGGGGACAATTTGTAGCACTTAGATTATAAGTTATTATTAAATTCTTAAGGATATATCTCTGTTAAATTCCTACCTGAAAGGAGGCTGTTGCTCTTTGATTTCATCTTCCTTATCATAGAGAGTGGCTGTCCCAAATAGCAACTGCTGAGGCACAAGGTCATGCTCCCTCTATGAAAAACAGTCAACGCAATCAATATCACATTAAAATCCTTTAATTGAAGATCACTAAACCAAGATAAAGTTGGAACAGCCGAGGGGAACACAGAAAAGATCTAGAATAGTCTTCCTTAACGTGATGGCCTGCAAACGTGTTTGAAAACTTCATAATCTCCAACTCTTACCCAAGAGTGGACTAATGAGTACGATACTCTTCAAAATGCCACATGTTTTTGTACTTAGCATGCAATGAAAAATTAGCCTAGCTATCTCTTGGGGAATCACGGAACATCCATCTGGAGGGTGACCAAGTTTGAGAAGGCTGAGCTGGAAGAATACGATGATGGATAGTTGTGTAAATACAGGACATCCAATTATGAGAATGAAAATGAAAAACAATGAAGAAGGATTAAACAAAACGAATGAGTTGGGACAACCAGGCTGAAAGACATGAGTTTACTGTGAGCAGGAAGCATATTGAACACAATATTGGCTAATGAAAAAAATGGCACTGGGATAGAATCCCATAAGGTCTCTGTATGTGAAACATTGGATGAAAGTCATCTTTATGTTTGTTCACAAATGAGGTTGGATGTAACACTGGAAAGCCAAATATACACATTTAGGGAGCTAACCCTCTGCACAGAAAAGGTAACCCTGCCTGCTAAGGAAGGAAGAGAACACTCTTACTACAAGTAGAGCATAGGACTGAACATCCCAAGCTACACCCCTGGGCATTTGCCAGAATTTGTTCCTGAAATTGGAACAATTGCCTTTACCTGGATATGATCACAGATGTCTCTCAAGGTAACAACTTCTCCTTTGGAATTAAAACCAGGCACAATAATTCTGTCCCAGCAATTCCATGTCTTCTGCTGATACTGGGAAGAAAGAAGAAATAGCAAGTTAAGTCTTTTTGCAACATACCACAACAAAGAGCCTCGGCCTCTCGGGGCACTTTAAAGCTAGACATTTATTACAGTATAAGCTTTGTGAAGTCTACTTTATCAGTCACATGGAGATCATTTTTTTTAAAAAAAGATCTGTGTGAACAATCCTACCCCAGCTGGTACAAGAAAATTGCAACAGGCAGCTTTCAGAAAAGCCAATTCTTAAAGAACAGAATGGGTCAAACCTTAGATTCATTTGGAAGTATATCCCCATGGATATACTTATATCCAAAGTTATATGCTCAACTATATTTTCTAAGGTATAAGATCCATTGAAATGGGGGGACTTAGTGCTAAATGAATATATTACACATTGCAGCTTGAAGGAACCTTACTGGTGGATTGGTAAATTCAGCGACCCCAAATATTAGCTCCAAGTAATCTGTATTACTCGGATCATTTTAGTAAAACAAGAGGATACAGACGAGGTTTCCCCCCACCCTAAATTATGAACATTATGTCTGGTTCAAAATCTATTGCTCATTTTCTAATGAGATGTTAATAACAAAAATAGCTGTTGGGAAAGAATCTTATAGCCAAGGACCTTAGAAATTCAGACTGTTCGTCTTATCAAAAACAAGGTTAAGAGGTGAACGGATTGTAATATACCTTCACAGAAGAGGTTTTAGGTATCAAACAGCGGCTCTTTAATCTAACCAAGGGGAACATAAGAAAAACCAACACAGATAAAAGATAATAACTTGACCAATTCTAATCAGACCCAGCATTTCAAACCGCAAGGAAAATTAATCATTGCCACCCCAAAAGCCACGGTGATGCTGCGGTTGAGAGCATTTGATTAGGATAAAGAAAGCCAGAATTAGATTGGCCAAGAAGGTCATTTTCCTTTCAACTCCCTCAGTTACCTCGCAAGGTTATCGTAAGACTAAAACACACACATCTGAGAGTCTTCAAGGAAAGGGCAGAACAGAATTTCTGATAAACAGAAATGGCAGGCTTCCAATGAAAACCAGTCCTCCTCCTGAAAAGACAGTTCAACATATCCAAAACCAGAGGGGGGAAATGCCATAATGTAGAGCAGAGGAAGTCATTCCTCTTGCATTTCCCATGGGAAGCCAACGCTGGATAATCTGGTTCATTCCGGCTTGTCTTCTCATCTCGGGATATACAAAACTGGATGCAGAGCATAGAGAGAGGGGGGACCCTACAGGGTTCTTTTTTTTACTTGTTCATGTTCTGTAGCTTTCTGTGACACAAAGACACATTGAATGGACGTCCTGACAACATACAATTATCCTTTTCTTCATAAGAGGCCCCAAAAACTTGCAGACCCCTTTGCTCTTTGCATTGTTGGCCCTAGGCAAAGCAGGCAAGAAACGTCCCATCCAGTAACAAGGGAGCCATTGGAGCTGATTATTAGTTCATAGCAGGAAGTGCCCTGGCTGGAGGAACATCTTGGGGGGGGGGGGTCAGGCGGCACAAAGGGATACTGTCCTGGGCAAGCTGACTGGTCAGTTAGGGAGGAACTGGCTTGGGCTGCATCATTTCTATAAGCCTCCTAAGCAAATCCTCTCTGTTTTTAGAAATGGCAGATATGGACAATTTTGCCTCTTCTGTCTAAATCCAAGAGTGCAGGTAGTCCTCAAGTTATAACAGTTCATTCAGTGACCTTTCAAAGTTGCAACAGCCCTGAAAAAAAAGTGATTTATAACCGTTTTTCACACTTTGTAGCATCCCTTGGTCATGTGATCAAAATCCAGATGCTTGGCCACTGATTTGTGACCATTGCTGTGTCCCGAGGTCATGGGATCAATTTTTGTAACCTTTTGACAAGCAACATCAACGGGGAAGCCAGGCTCACTTAACAACTGTGTTCCTAACGTATCAACTGTGGCAAGAAAGGTTGTAAAATGGGGCAAAATTCACTTAAACATCTCACTGAACAACAGAAAATTTTGGGCTTAACTGTGGTCGTAAGTCAAGGACTACCTGTATTGGTATCTACCAAAGCCCTATGGACGCCCTACTAGATTCCTGCTTAGCGCTCTAATGGAAGAGGTCACTTCTTCATTGTGCCTACCTAAAAAACTATATCCCATCCCTTGGTTCAATCAACTCTTTTTCCGTAGGATAAGGGCTAATGGAAGCTTCAGTGTTGCTTTATAATAAAAAGACCATTCTCATTTATTATTTCTTTAACTTAGATTTCTAAACATTTATATATGGTTCAATGGAAGTATGCATAGTTTGTAATCTCTTGACATTTTTTTTTCTCTTTTTTTGTGCATTTAGTTTATTGTTTTCTTAGGTTGATTTCTTTTGTGTGTATGGATGAAGGTTTTTTTTTTTAATGTATGAAAGTTGTTAGGATATTTTTTTGAAGGTGGAGCTGTACCCATTTCTCTCCCTTTCCCATGAAAAATGGCACGTCAGGCAATTAGGAAAAGAATGAGGGAATATGTAAATATGTAAATATACCATAGAGAAGATGGATGTGTAAGGATAAAAGATATTGATTTATAGCAAGAGTAAGGTGTAATGGTAAAGGAATAAGTAAATACATATACTGAAAAATTTAAGGAGATACAAAAGATGTCTTGATGTTGATAACAATGTATAAAGTTTTATTTTATGTTTTTTAAAATTTGAAAACTTAATAAAAAAAAATTTTTTTAAAGAAAAGAAAAATGGCATGTCAGGTTTACTGTTCTTTCACATAGCGCAATTTAAGGTCACTGGTCTTTTTAATTTTAATCGTAAAAAAAAATCACAGGACAAACCAAAACATTATTGTTCAGAACCTTTCTCAGCAACACACAAAGAGTCTCAGAAGGCTTTAAAAAGTTTCCTGTACCAGGTGCCATGACTTCCAGATGATTTTGGATTATAATATCCAGGTTAAAGAAAGCAGATGGTATTGATATAATGTCACGAAGTCATATAAGATAGTGATCCCCAACCTTTCTTATGCCGCGGCCCGGTATCCCCAACCTTTTTTATGGCGCGGCCCGGTACCGGCATTAGTTGGGCGCCACCATCTTTTTTTTATGAAAAAGTGCTTCCGGTGACCTCACCGGAAGCACTTTTTCATCAAAAAAAGATGGCGGCGCCAGCGCTTCCGGTGAGCTTTTCCGGGTAGAAATGGCTTTCTACCCAGAAAAGCTCACCGGAAGCACTTTTTCGTCAAAAAAAGATGGCGGCGCCCAGCAAACCAGCGGCCCGGTAGGACTTGTTCCACGGACCGGTACCGGTCCGCGGACCGGTGGTTGGGGACCCCTGATATAAGACATGGGTAAGGAGGAGGATTGCTTCCAAGATATTAGATTAACAGAGTTGGAAGGGACCTTGTAGGTAGGTCATCTAATCCAAACCCCCGCCCAAGCAGGAGACCCTACATCATCTCTGACAAATGGCAGTCCAATCTCTTCTTGAAAGCCTCCAGTAATGAAGCTCCCACAACTTCTGAAGGCAAGCTGTTCCACCACTTGATTGTTCTGTCAGAAAATTTCTGGGTCTTACCGTAGCCTTCTTGTTCAGGCTGGATGATTTCAGTAGGAGCAGCACTAAAATCCAAGACTCATCCTGCAATATTGCAAGGCTTCCTGGAACACTTTGAAGTAGTTTTCCCTATCCTGGTACTCAAGGGGAGCAGCCGAGAGCCTTTTTACATGTCTCCTTCAGAGGTGGGTGTTCAGCAGGTTCTGACCAGTTCTGGAGAACCGGTAGCGGAAATTTTGAGTAGTTTGGAGAACCTGCAAATCCCACCTCGGACTGGAGATTCTACAGTATCCTTCCCCTGCCACGCCCACCAAGCCACGCCCACAGAACCAGTAGTAAAAAAAATCTGAATCCCACCACTGGTCTCAATATAGTATATATAGTCACCTGTATAGTATGAACGGCTAAAGCCGTTCTCAGTTATCCTGCATCTTCCCACTAGAAAGTGCACAGCAGCCAAAGCAAGTCCATTTCTGTAAACATCAGAAACAGGCCACTTTGGATAGTCTATTTCCTCCCTTATATTATGCTTCCATTTTGGAAGCATCGAACCTCTTCCATGGTGAAAGAAACAACCAGTGACATCACCGTTGCCTGGGGGATGCCCACTTGGGGGCTCCTTTCATTGTCCCTGTTCTTTTCCCCAATGGTGGAAGTACAAAATGGGGGAAACCGAACTGTCTCCACAAGTGCTCCCCTGGGCTGCCTGCAAAGGCGGTTTAGTGCAGGACGCAGTTGAAATAGAGCCAACTTTGGAGGAACTTCAGATGGAATGCAGATAGCTGACTTTGCTGTGTATGTGAACTTGAGTTTTGTTTTTTTAATTCCCGTACAGTCGTGGTACCCACATGTTTCCTCCATCCATAGATTCTTGACTAGATCAAGCACTGCCATGCTTCCCATCTTCCATGTATCCATCAAATCTAAAACCGCTTCCTCTATGCATATGCTTGCACACGCACAAATTCTGAGACCAATTTGGATCGGTGGTTGGACCACACAGAACAGGTGACACGGATATGTAACTTACAGACAGGAATTCCTTTCAGAAGAATCAACCTTCTTCCATCTATGTGTTTCACTAGTAAGTGAGCTGTGTTAGCAATGGTGCGTGGATTTACAATTTGAATAGGTAAGAACACTTGCCTATTTTATTTCAAACCCACATAGAAGCAAATAAAGAAAGGCATGGGGAGAAGGATAGGGAACTCAAGATGCACAGCGCTATCAAACAGAGAGTTGTAATTGAAAAACCATCATGTAATTTAGATTAAATCACTGTACACAACAGAGTCCCCAAACTATAGGAAATAATCCTCAAGTGCATATGAGGCTAATGAAGCTTATTCTGACCATTTGGGACCATATGGCCTATTCCATTTGCTCGTTTACATTGCTAGTAACAAGAACAGGAGCCTAGGAGCCATATGGCTACTCAGTCTCTCAACTCACACTTGCTGGGAAACCTTTGC